TACCCTACCATGAATAGTTTTGAAGTTAAGTGATCTTGGTTACATTGTTGATGATGGCAACGCACTTTTAAATACTCTTCCCTAGTCATGCTTGTGAAGCCCTTAATTATCAGTAGGTCTGCTTATTCGAGTACTGGTGGTGGTTGAGCGGTCACAAGCCAGTCGTATAGCGGTTGCATAGCAATTTCTTTGCCCCTGCAATGACAATTAATAATCTTTTGATGCTGCAGTTATTCTTCGGGCGCTTTTAACCTGTAAGACGATGAAGTACTCTAATGCTTGAAAGGTAGTTTCAGATTCTTTATATTATATACTGAAGAACAACATTTTTTCTAGAGACCTTGCACTCACTTTACCCCGCCTCCAGTCTACCGACCACTAGCATTCTGGCCTTTACTTAAATGGTGCGTTTCAGATATGATTTTAATAACGTCTGGAGATTTTCAAACTTTATAAAAGTTATTTAACTAAACTTACTAAAGTTTCAAACTTACTAAAGTTATGTAATGAATACGCGCTATGTAATGAACATGCTTCCTTTCATAATTTACTCGTTTTCATCTTATTTTCATATTCTGTTTGGAAGTTCCGGCTCAGCAGCAAGATTTTATGTTAAGAACATATAATTACCATAAATAATTGTACTCAGTGGAATTTTAATCTCTCTTTGTATAGTCAACATACTATCACACTTGTCTTTAATTCTGAATAACAGTGTACTAATTTAAGAGAAATTAAATCTAGCTATTAAATTTTTTAAATGTTTTAAATGAGCATATTGCACTCAGTACAGCATCATATTTGCAAGACTGACATTTGAAAGTCAAATTTGGAAAATCCACCCCTTCCAGTTTGGTTGGCATTTGGCTGTTTGGTTTTCTTTACAACATTTTTTACATATTTTTCATGTAAATAATTTTTTACAAAATTATTTACATGAAAATTATAGAAAGTTTTTTTTTATAATTTTCTCTCAAAAATTATTCTTTTTTTGATCAGGTTCGGGGGGAAATATTTTTATTTCTTAAATTAAGCACTTCCAGTTTTTTAACCTTTCAGTCACCAGAAATGATTTCCTAATAAGAAAAAAAAAACGCAAAATTAAAACTCAAAGCCAACTCCAGAGAATCTGAATGTAATTTATAACTCTGCAAATCTGCCTTTAACCGCAATTATCGCCTCCTTTACTCCTCTGACAACCTCAGTTATTTATGCCGTAATTCAGGGCATATTATCTCTTGTATCCTCAATTAAAATAAATGCAAGAAGTTGAATGAATTGAAATTCTTTTGATGTTATTTAGAGAATCCAGACAATACTTCTATCAAATTGAGACTTTACATTGAAGAAGATACAAAACTTAAAAATTGCCTTTGGTAAGATTTTGTGTAGCAGTATTCACAAATGACACTGGTCTGGACCTTTTCATGTTATGATTGAAAACTATATTTAAATTTTTACATTCTGTTTTTTTAACTACTATATTTAAATATAGTAGTTTGTTGTTTGGCTTTAGAACGAATTTTTAATCTGGCCACTATGTTTAGCCTGATGTAGCTATTTGACAAAGAACAGAGATAGAGAAACGGAAGTTGTGATGGAAACAGGTCTATAAATTTTCGAATTACAGTTCTTCAATATATGCATATGTTGTTTGACGTCTAAATTAATACGTGGAAAAAAAGGAAGCAAAAAATAAGACTGTTTATTAACCTAAATGTTATACATATTTCTAGACATATATATATGAGCACAGTTGTACTCATCTACGCAGATGAAATTTCAAATAAATTTTTAGGGGCATTGCTCTCAATATGTTAATTAACTTAGGATGTTCAGTCAGTCTGCTAATCGTGGGACACTTCCGCAGTTAGCTCCATATCCTCTTGATAGAAGCTTTTAGTACTTAGCGAAGCTTCCGTTAAAACGTGGACACTGGTCATAAAGGATGGTCTTCTACAATCTGATCCATTTAAATATTTGGTGAGGAAATATAGTTTCTTCCGCAGACTTGTCGCATATTTTTTCCCCAAGCGCAATTAGTGCTTCAAGTCTACTAGTGAGAATATCTTCAATTTCAACAAAACAAATGAAAAATGTTATATGTAACGCATCGGCCAAAGCTTGAGATCACTATTATAGATATGATTTTTGTAAGCATACCTTCTATACCATAAATACCTTCCAGTGAAAAATATTTCCAGGTTTCCCTCTTCAATCTGTGCATTTGTGAAATGACCGTGTTAAACTATTTGGAATCCACTAATAAGTTCCATTTATTAATTAAATGGCCGTGTTAAACCATTCCACGTATTAGATTGCATTTTTAATTAGTAAGTTCAGAAGTCTTGTGGCTGATATAAATTCATTTATTAAATGAATAAAGTCTTGTAGCTTCTATTCAGATTTTGCAATACCCACAAGATGTACTGATCTTACTTACAATGTACACAGAAATTGCATCCAATGCAACACTTTCTTCGAACTAGAACTTCAGCTGAATGGAACACTCTGATATAGTCATATTAGAAAAGGGGAAGCTCAAGGATGTCTTGACTCTCAAAAACGATGACCGTGAATATTATAAATGAAGATGCAATATTAAAAATCGTAAAGGTGATTTAGAAAAGGTCTTGAAATCTTCCGAGATTAAAAGCATTTTAAAACTTCAGTCAGTTATAAGATTTCGCTAAACGCTCACTCCAGCTGCAGTTTTGTATGTAATGTAACAGGTATAAATGTGGTCTGTCACAGAAATTTCGAGCATTAAATATTAAAGAATGTGCTTAACAAGCAAATTCCTGGCAGATGCTTGACATGAAAGAGCTGTGTTACAGAAACTTAGAGCATTAGTTCTTAATTAATATGCTTAACAAGCAAATGAGTAGACATTGGAGGGGGAGATTACAACAATAATTCTAATAATTTAGCGAATTTCCGTTTCCTAATTTCTTTTGTCTAATGATTCTTCGAAACGAAACATTTTGTAGATTTCAATAAAAAAATATTTCATATATTTTCCTGGATTCAATGCTCTTAAGTTGCATCTCAAAGCTTAGTTTTCAAATATGCAGACACTGTTCCTGTTGAAAATTGTTATTTTCTCTCCCCCCTTTTGTATTTTAATCATATATATTCCAGCATTTACGTGATTAAAATGTTTATAGAGCTTGCTTATATCTATTTAGCATGCAAATCAGTACTTGTTACGCTTAATATTCCCTTTCCCTTAGACTAGAGATTCCAACTCTTCCTGCATTGATCCCATTTAAAAAATTTGGTTTTCTTCAACGACCCCCTTACGTTTTCCCCTTTAATATACAGCATACAACATAATCAAAATGCAGATAATTGCAGATAAATAAACTAAATTTAACGATAAATCTAAGAATATGAACAAAAGTTTTAAAAATAACGGTTTATTAGATTTATGTTTTATTATTTTTGTATTATTTTTAGGCCAAAGGGGCTTTGTCCCTGAAGGACTATTGTTTTCGTTTTGCGATTTTTGCGTTGAAAACTTTAAAAGGCTGTATCACCCACCAAATACTATCGCCCTGTATTATATTTGAAGAAATTAAATAATGAAGAACCTGTATAAATGTATGTGTTTCTCGCATTGTGATAAAACAACGGTACCTAGAGCCATCCAATTTTGAATGACGTGATCTTACTGCGAATATGGGCATCTGAAAGCCCAAATTTGAAATTTGGAATATGTTTTATTATCGATTTCCTATTTTGTAAAACTTTAGGGAATTTTTGATTAACACTCAACGATTTAAAAGCGAGCAATGGCGACACTCTACGGGGGGGGGAGAAACCTTTTTATCTCCAGCGCGCAGAACTGTGTATCGGAAATTCTAAAGATAGGCTCATTTTAAAATTATTTTGCGATTTGCAAAATTTTTTGAACAGAATTTTATGGTTTAAGTGCAAAGAGCAGGATATTTAATAAATAAAGGCAATACACAAAACGTTAAAAAAACGCCCCTTTGGAGATAATTTAAAATCTGAAACCTTTCAGATTTTTTTCCTTTTATTACATTTAATTTTGCCAATATAAGCAAGTTTTTAGAAACAAAAATCACAGATTCTAATTGCACAGAAGTTCGATTTTAATTAATGTGATGGCTGCACTTGAAGAACTGATGGAATTTTTTTTAATATTTGACATAATTCTTAAATCACCTTTTTCAAAAATATTCAACTTATGTCTTATTTTCCGTACTAATTTACTGACTTGACAAAATCCTGCTTGCATTAGGTAAGAGGCAGGAAAAGTCAATCGTTTTAATTCGGAAATAACTTTTGTTTTGGGAAATTTTTCTCGGATGAATTTTATATTCCAAAACATAGCGTACCTGTGTGTTTTTAGAAAAATTTAACTTTGTATGTTATAGCTTTCTCTCAGAAACCAATTAATTATGAATTTTATTAACATATTTTTGTAATCAATGAGATTTTGATTATGTCGGTCAGTTGCCAGTACACATTCGGCTATCGACCCGTAATCGATCCTTTATCATTACTGACCCTCCTTGAAAATTTCATCGATCGCCAGGGGGTTACTACCGACCCCACTGGGAACTCCCGTCTCAGATGAATAAATTTAATGCTTGATTGTCCCTACAAATAGAAGCCGTGTTATTTTCTCACTACTCGGCCCATCTCATAGTTACTAGATCAACGTAGCCCTATTAGGTAAATATCCTATAAAATTATCTCGCATAAAATTATCCTCTTCTACTTCTTTTACTTAATGGCATGATGCTGAGCAAATTCTGAGCGTAGTTGATTTACCTACCAGTTCTTATCTGAGCGTAGTTGATTTACCTCCAGTTATCGGCATGACAATTAATTTTAATTTTTGCTGGTTGATGATTTACATTAATATTTTATTTCCTTATTTGGAATTTCTGTAACTCGTATATGATTATGATGTACTGTTTTTAATATTTTGCATGGCCTGTATGTAATACATTTTCTTTCAATTTAAGGGCAGAGTATAAGGTGGAATATGTAAGATAAAAAGGCGCAAAAAAGGAGAAAAGGCATGTCATTTTTGTATAAAATTCTTAATAACTGCTATAAATATTTTATTTTTGCACTGCAGTTTAATTGTTTCAATAAATATTTTGTTTATTCACTGATCTAAAGCTATCGATGATAACTACGCTCATAAAACTATGGTGTCACTACATAAATGGTTATATGCAGTGCTAGACAGAGATGGTGTTATATCATTTTGAACAATAACATGAGTATACTCCAGGTATCATCACAACATTTCAATTTCTAAAATTTGGCGAGTGTAACATACATAACTGGCAATAATATTCAAATTTTAAGTAAACAAGAGAGTAAAAAATGTCAGAACAGTATAAAATATAAGGAACAGCATTGCGCTACGTAAATAAATTAAAGGTTGTAACCCAGTAAGTAGTCCACTCTAAATAAATTATTTGCGTAAACTAAGCAACTAAGTAAACAGGCTAGTTTAGTTAAATAATACATTCAGTTATTAGCCCAAATGTCTATTAATTTCGTTTTGGCATTTTGTGGCGTTTCACTATAAACGGCGTTACACTTTTCAAATTGTTGCCGCCAAATTAAATAATAAAGAATTTTCATAAATGTATGTATGTTTCTCGCACTGTGATAAAACAGTGATACCTAAAGCCATCAAATTTTGAATACTTCTCCACCCGAATATGGGCATCTGGAAGCTTAAATTTGGAATTCGGAATTTGCTTTATTATCGATTTCATATTTGGTAAAGCATTTATGAGTTTTTGATTAAGAAACTCAACGATTTCAAAGCGAGCAGTGGCAACACTGAACGGGAAAGAAAACATTTTATCTCTAGCGCGCGAGACTGTGTATCGGAAATTCTAAAGATATGGCTCTTTTTAAATTATTTTGTGATATTGCTGTTGAATTGAATTTCATGGTGTAAGTGCGAAGAACGTGATATTTAATAAATAAACGTAACACACAAAACATTAAAAAAAAAAAAAAAAAAAAAAACCTTTGGGCGTAATATAAGATCTGATAACTTTCAGATTTTTTGAGTCTGTTTTCATTTTAGTATATTCCAAATATACTTACAGGAATCTAGTTACATTATGAATCCTCTGGTGGCAGGATACTCATTTACTAAGGGAAAAACAGTATGACAATTAAAACAAATTACAATTAGTAAAGCAATTAAGTTTAAACACCATGAAGTGTAATATAAATCAAAATTTAAAATTAGTAAACCTTAAAGGTAATATCCCGTTTAACCAAATGGAAGAAACAACATAATTCAAAAGAACAAAACCAAATAATACTGAAATTAAGACTTAAATTTTCAAACAGAAATTAAGTATAATAGGTTTCTCCTTAAAAAGTTAATAAAGATTAACTTAGTTAGACAGTTATAGCTCAAATAAAAGACATTAGCTCTTAAAATTACCAATTTAAGTAACACAATTACAGCTCAAATCAAAAACTTTAGCTCTTAAAATCAAGAAACAATCAATAAATTCAAAATAAGTAAATTAATACCAAAGCAAATTAAAGCAGTTTAAATAAAAACGTAATTAGTTACAAAATTAAATATAAATTAAATTAGCTAATAAGTTACACAAAAATGACATAAGCTTTATTTTCCTAAGCATAAACCCCAGCCGTGTACTTTTGTTACCAGGTTTCTTAAAATAATACACACTAAATAGGGATGTTTCTGTAACAAAATCTAAACTTTTTATGTGGTTCCCTTAAAATAAAAATTCCATTAACATAAAATTCATTATGTTTTAAAGGAAAAATTGACTATTGGTAAGCCATAATGACTATTGGTTATTTACCTTCACTATAAATCCACGAATTCAGATTACTTTGGAATTTAATGTTGAAAAACGAAGCGTGGCTTTAATTTCCTCTGACGCAATACAAATTTTGTGAAAAAAAATAGAAAGTGCAATTGTCTTCCGAAAATAAGGGACAGTCGCATTTTGTTTTGCGGTTATTTGGCGGCATGAGGTGTAAACCAAAAGCAGCTTTATTTTTTTCCCTTTGTACCTGAATAAATATCTTAGACTGCAAAAATTAAGTAAATATCCTGTTTAGCTGCACAAACGAAATTAAACGCTTGCTTTTTCTAATGACACGAAATGGCTTGAATTAGATTAGTCAATTATGGCAAGGCTTTACCTAAATGGTAGTGAATTTCGGGGGGGACTAGCCCATATTAATGTTACACTCAAGGAAAGCCAAAAATGTTTGTGCAATCAGATAGTTCGCGTTAATAAAGCCCGGATGATTGGACTGGATAATGACAAAGCAAACGAGAGCTATTTGCTCAAAGGAAGTAATGCCTTCGTGGAGGAATTTTTAAGATTTGAACCCGGATCGAACTACCTTGTTTAGTGGGCTTAAAAACATGGAGGTAAATGTTATGGCCATGCTTAACGTTAAGATTATCTTTGCTGAACTATGGCAGCCAGAAATTTTTTCTTTCTCCTGATGTCGGATGAACTGTATTCAATTCTGTTTCATCTCAAAGAAAAACTCAAAACCTTATACAAGTTACTGTTTAAAATTTCTCTATTATATAAATTCCCCAATACTTATTCTTTGCTTAGATTTCATAGAACTTTTTAATTTGTGGCAATTTGTGGAATTAACAGATTAGTATCACATTTCACGCCGTATTTAAAAAAAACAATGAAGAACTAAATAATTTAAGTAAATAAAAACGTTTACACTAGAGCTTAATGCGACGCGAAGTTTAGTTCCAGTACTTCTCATCATTTGAGATAAATCGTGCTTCTAGACGAAGCGCATCGGAGCCCTACTTAAAAACGGTTCCGACACTTGTTTCATGAAACTGAACTCCAGTTTCAGAAGAAAGTTTTCTTTATCTCGAAAAATTTTATTTTAATAATATGTTAATCTGAAAAATTCATTCTAACTTCTGAATGGATGCCTATCTTTCCCTGAGAAACAAAGCCTTGGACGTAGATTGAGACCTTCAGGAAGAAAAGCACCGACCCACTTCTCAAAATCTTATTTTCCGGGAGCTGCAATAAGTTTGTGAGACTTGATTAAGAACGTGTAAATTGTTTCTTCTTGAAGGTGCTACAAATGATCATCCTGATCTTGCCCGCGTATCCTCTGCTTCGATACCGGTGGTTTCGATCACTCGCAATTTACAATAGGGAAGGGGAACCGTTCTTTATGTGCCTAAATGCACTACAAATTGCAATAAACATAACATAGTGAAATGCTAAGGTCAGTGGCTCAAACATGTCCAACGCTAACTTCCCACGGAAAACAGCATTGCCAACTTTTCTAAAGGATGTAACTAAGTACGCGGGATGAAAATGATCGCTTGTACAAAACCTTATTTTTGCTGTCGGCTTGCAGATGAGCTCTAGGATTTAGGGGCAGTTTTTCCCTATCACACTGTACTTAATAGTTGTGTTAGATATGTAGGAGATCTCGGTTAGAAAGTGTAGGATTCTTCTCGCTTCGTTTTCATATCTACACTTCTTTATTAAAATTTCCTTCCATACTCTCACGTTATTCCTAACGTTTTTCTCTACTCTCATTAGTGACGTTTTAACCGATTTACCTTTTCTTATTGGTGTGATGATTTAGAAGGAGCTTTGTTTCTGCCATTCCTTGGGAATAGTGCATTATACTATACATTCAAGGCTTAAATTTAACCCGAAATGAGAGACGAGGTAGGTCCGGTATTTTATTTTACTATTTACTAATTATCCTTAACTTAAACTCATTAAATTTTTGCTTCTCTCTTTACATATTATTAAATAAATTTTTTTTATTGTTGATTTTATTTATTTATTTTTTGTTCGTCTTTCCTGTGTGCCTTTAATAGGGTTTCAGCATTTCTAATTTTAGAAAATAAGCCCTGTTTTTCATTTTTAGTATTAACCATTGACTTCTTAGAGAAATAATATTAGCCCTTTGGGAAGATTCCTAAGGTGATTTACTGTTAGTTTAACCTAACTTTTCTGAGAGATAATGGGTAAGTAGGGGAGATGTGATTCTCTTTCGAAACAAACTTCGAACTCAGATAATATTTAATACAATTAACTAATACTGGAAATGTCGTCCCGTGTGTCATCTAAGTGTCACTTTCCTATGTTATCTTGCAATTAAAAATGGAACAACAGCCTCTCTTGTACCATAAAGATTTTAAATAATCTTATTCCAAAAGGTAATAATTTTATTTTATTAATTGTCTTCCCAGGTATTTAAAGGATATTTTAAATATGGTGCATCTGAAGTTCCTTACACTTCAATGTGATTAGCTTCTCTCATATGAATCTTACTCTTTAAAAATGTATCTACGAAACCGTTGCATTTAAGATGCAACAAAAGTTAGTTACTGAAGAAATAATCAGCAGACGGGGCTAGCGTGGGAAGTCATCTGTTATTAATAAAGAAAATTTAAATGAGATGTTTAAAATTTGATTTTAAAATTTATATTTTCACCTAATTTTTGAGTTATTTCCTTGTTCAGTTTGCTGATACAAAATTACTTTAATTTTGAACAATGGTATTTAAAGCGATTTGCTGCAACATCTTATTTGGAGATAAACAGCTGCTTTATCGTATCTCAACTTCTGGTGTTTTTGATTCCCCCCCGCTTTGAGTGCTTTATGTCTCATCACTCGGAACAGAAACATTTGTCACTAATCAAATAAACTTATCGAGAAAGAGTTATCAATACGGTGATTTCTGTCATCTACGCTGACGCGAACTTGGAAATACGTTTTGCTTTATTTATCCCGATAACAGCTATAATCTCCGAGATTTAAAATACATTGAATTTTCTTTTCCTTGAATAAATTTCTTACTCCGTTTTTACCGTTGATTGACTAGCTTCTTTCAGTCGGAACAGCAATGCATAAAACACACAGCGCAATTATGTTTGTGGAAACAACTCCCGTTAATTTACTGTAATATTTATTTTAAGCAAAATATGTTTGTGAAAGATAGATAAGATGATATGATTTTACGAGCCACGAGAAAGGAT